CCGGGCCTTCACAAAGATCAAAAGAGACTCGACAAATCAAGGAAGAAACCGGAGCCGGGATCCATGGCTGGGCGGCGCGGCCGCGGCTTCTACTGGTGGAGGTTTTGTGAAACTTGCAGTACAAGTCAACCGGGATTCTACTGCAGTGGGAGTTCCAGTTGGTTTAGGACAGAAATCCTAATCCAAGGAGAATAAATATTTAAATGGCCATAATAGTGGATATTTATTTATGGCATTAATTATTTATTTGTTTATTTATGCATGAGAATAATTGTTGCCTTGTGTGCATAGAATTTTTTAGAATTGCATATATATATATATATATTAAAAATCCTCATTTAAAATACAAAGTTGAGAAGGATATTTAAAGTTAAGATAATTTTAAATTCTTAAGGCCTCCGTTTTTAATTCGTTGGTAAATCAATTAATTGATAGTGTGGGCTTCTCCGAGGATGACATTACTTGAAAATTAATTGAAGGATAATTATCAGAACGAATTTCTAAATTTAGACGGTTAGAGGAAATCGAATGAGAGCGTACGGGTCACCCCGAGGTGAACGTATAATCGATTTTGACGACCTTAGGACCGAGAAATGGGATTCACTTAGAATGCGATTCATTTCATAACCCCCCGAGGGGTCCCTGATTTTTATTGCATGGCCAAACGGTGACCGATTATTAATTTCGTTCGTCATGAAATTGGTTGTGACTAATGGAAATTAATGGGTTCTGGAAAAACCCTTCTTTAAAGAAACGAAGAATTAGTAGAGTTGCCCGAGCATCATACTAAATTCTCAAGGTTTAAGGATATCGGTGAATTTAAGTTAGTATTGTTTTGAGGATGTCAATATTAACAGTTAAATTCAAAGTGTTTAATCAGTAAAATATTTTCGTAATTCTCAGGTTTAATCATCATGTCGTTCAATTCGTTGTCTGTTATCCTAAAAGAAAATCAACTTACAGGTCCTAATTACATTGATTGGAAAAGGAACTTAGACATAGTGCTTACTGCTGAAAGCTATAAGTATGTGCTAACTGAGGCTTGTCCTGATGTGCCCGCTGATAATGCCCCAGATGAGGAGAAACAGGAGTATGCTCGGTGAAAAAAGGCTGATGAAATGGCGAAGTGTCACATTCTGGCTTCTATGTCAAATGTCCTTCAACATCAGCATCAGTCAATGGCCACTGCTGCAGATATGCTTCTGAACCTCAAGGAACTGTTTGGGCATCAGTCGAGGGCTGCAAGACAAGAGGCTTTAAGTGCTCTTATGAACACGCACATGGCAGAGGGTACACCCGTAAGGGAGCATGCTCTCAAGGTCATG